CGTAATGTTGTTTATCTGGTGGTTGTAATGTATAGCCAATGCATTAATCAGGGAACAGTAATTTCTTTGTCTTAATTCTGTGACTTGTTTTCAACTAACTTTTTGCCTCTGAATTTAGTTTTTTGAGCTTGATATGCTTTATTGTCACTGAAAATTGTACAATTTTATGGACAAAGCTTACAAAAAGTCAAAAAAATAACAATAACAATTAAAGTAATTGCCATTTAAATGGGAATAAGCCACAATTAAAGGTTAAAGTTATTATCCAGAGTTAGTCATGCGGCTTACACTCCCTCTAAGGGTAAATTTCACTCATTCCAGATACCTAAGGTATCAAAAGGATTTTTGGGAATAGCACCAATAGTAGATAGAATAATAGGTATTGTCTAGATCTCTGTACTTGACAACCTTTTCGATATATTAAACACATAAATTATTGGTGTTAAATCTCGCCACATCAATAGTTGTTGTTTTCCTAGTAAGTTCTATCAGGGACGTATTGATAATAAGGAAGATGGTCAGTTTGGAAAAGTCACAGTTTGTCAGCTAGTTCTTGGTGAACAATCTTTTCTACTGAGTTATAGCGTTCTTTATAATCAGTACCGACAAATGCCTAGCAGCCACCGGCAAGATGTTGGATGGTTTCTTGGGCTTAACAACTATATCGACATTTGTCATTTTGGACTTGAGGATCTTTAACAATAAATTTCAGTTAATTTTTTTGTTGGAATAACCTGATCCTGAATGGCAAGTAGGAAACCCTCAATCTCGGAAAACATCTTTTCTGATGTCAACCAATAGTTCGACGCTGTATTGTCGATATATTCTTGGCTGATCTCATTGAGATGTCGTCCATGCAAAGGTTCACTCATCCAGGTCCGCATTTTTCTTGCTTAGTTAAGTGGTTTATGCGCATTTCTTGTTCCCCCAGTTTAAGCGGCGTTGTATCATCTACTGCGCAAATTGCTCGATGTAAGTCTCAGCCTGTACCTGAAAATAAATTCTTAAATTACCAATTTGTTTATACAGTTGCTCACCTACGTCCATAAGTCCTCTTCTCCCTTGAAATCGAGGTAATGTTGTTTTCTTTACTGCACTGCGTGGATGATGTTTTTGCGCCTTTGTGAGAAGTGTTCATACTTTCCGCTGAAGACCCTCTATATTTGTTTTTGACTACATTAAAAAAATACCAAATGAGTAGCTCAAAGCGGAACAAGCGTACGTATTTAATGCCTTAAAAAATTTTTTGGTATTAAGATATGACCGATTTAGTTGTTTTACTCTTCGCACAAACTCCGAAGTTTGTTCAGTTTTCATTTGGTTATGGTCAATTTTCCGCGCTTGTTTTACTCCTAAAGATTTGTACATATCATTTTCACCCATTGCCTCGATGAAAACGTATATAAGCGTTTTCATCTTTATTGGCGTGTGCGTGTAAAAACACTTGCAATAAGTTGTTTCATCTGTCTTTTCTTGTCTAAGCTCGATTCGTTTACCTCCTCCAGTGGCGGAGCAAAATGTAGCATGTCAAACGAAATAATAGTTATAAAAGAAAATTATAAATTATTTTTCATTAAATTTCTAATAACGGATATACGTATAAATTGCGAAGAAGTATTTTTCTAGCTTGCAGTACAATAGGACAGGATATAACGAAAAGTACATTTTAAAAGGATTTTGAAATATACCAAAAAAAGTGTTAATTATTTAATCCACTTTAATTAAAAACTGATACAGATTTTTTAAGTTTTAAGCACTGTAGCGAATTCTAAACTGTTACAACGTACTGACCTTGATTAATTAGCTAATCAGTCAGCGTCTTCACTAGAATTGTCTTCATCATTGGAATCTTCCGCCAAATCGATGATAATCCTACTTTCATTTTCATCATAGTGGCAATTTTTGTCCAGTCGTCCTGAATTAATTTTTCAGTATGGTTAACACAACTCGCCCACACTGTAGGTGTTGCCTCAGCTAATGCATCGTCCCAAACTTTATTCACTGTTTCATCTCCACGTCCATGTTCTCCAATATGACGATCATAGTATTGTTTACAAATGCCCCAGACCAACTCAATCGGATTGTATTGACAGTGATATGGAGGCAATCTCAAAACCTGATGCGCATGTTCTTGGAGTAACTCGTCTATAACGTACCCTGTATTTTGTGGTTTATTCTGGCGACAAAGACTCAATAGCTCTGTCTTGCCCGAATCGTCGTCAAAAATTATTTTTTCGCTCATAACCATTTTTGTAAGTCCGGTTTTTTTTTAACTGGCAATCGGTAACTTTTCTATTAAAGAGCTATGGTATGAGGCATTATCCATAATAATTAGAGATGGTTCCTCCAACATTGGTATCAGCTTTTCGGAGAACCACTTTTTAAAAGACTCTTTATCCATAGAATCATGAGTGTCTGCGCTCTTCGATTTCGTAGAAAACAGTAATCCAGCATCTTTAACAAATCCTTGCCTACTTCCGGCATGTAAAACAACAAAGCGTTTACCTGTATTTTCGTGTCCTTTTCTGATGCTTTTCACACAGTCATATTGACAAGTACGTTTATATGCCCCTTTTAGGAATATCCATGTTTCATCTAAAAAAACGAACTGAAGTGGGCTTGGACTTAAAAAATTTCTTATATATTGCCTCAAAAAATACAGTCGTTTGGAGAGAATACATGGTTCCTCACATAGCACTCGTCTACTATTTTCTAGTTTGTATGAAAACCCACAATTTTTCATAAGACGGCACAAACTTGTATCAGAACCGTCATGGAGATGCTTGTTTCTTAATTGTGTATTCAGAACTTTAATTGTAACGTGCTCTCCTTTTGCTTTCATGCCATACAGTACATTTCTAATCTCTCCTTTTATAGTATCGCTGACATTATTAGTCTTTTTTTTTTGTACATTACGTGACTCTCCTGGTGTAGTAAGAGCGGTCCGTCTTGTATTTACTCTTTATTCTTGTAACTGTGCGAAGACTGATTTTCAAAGCGTCCGCTACTCGTTCATGTACCGATGATAACGAAAGCAAAGGTCCGTTGTTTTTTTTTAATACTCCAATAAATGAACTACACATTGTCGCATTTCTCCTGTTATCGTTTTTCCCGGCATTTTTTTATTTAATAGAACAATTAGTTATTCACAACAAAAAACAATAAGTAAAACTGTTCGGAACAAATTCCAACAATGACTGACTAAAATCGACTAAAACAACATAAAATATCAATGGTAATTGCTACAATTATAAACCTATTAGCATGCTCATTCAAGAACAATGGCGCAAGTCATTATTGCAATGGGTATCGGAAGAGAGTTAATTTATAATAAACTGTAATTTTTAAGGTGTCGAGAGTGTTATTTTATGTGATAGAATTCCACACAGTAAGAGCTCAAACTATTAATTAATTAAAAACTGTTTACTTATAAAAACTATTTCATCAGCTACTTCAAACCTGCACAGATCAGGGTAACATGTTAAAAAAAACACGTCACTGGCAGCTATCTGTATTCGTAAAGAGACCGAACTTATCACCGACACCGTATCGGCCAAACGCATCGGTGTCATTGCTACAATACTGGGCGACGTGAGTGGTCTCTTCATTACCTTCTCATCGCACTTTACCATGACAAACGTGACCGTACAATTAAATTACGCATCTGTGTATCAGAGAGAGACGAATATTAAAAATTCCGTAGTAGCTTATTTCAGGCACACGCCAAGAACGATGAAACCGAGTTTAGTTAGTTTTGATACCTGAGTCAGTGGAGTTCAGTAGCTGAGACAGTGGGTTCATCGCTAAACAGAACCAAAGAGGGCTCAACGAGTCCCCTGGAAAACGCTCCGGTTAATTGGGATATCTTCAGTTTCGATGTTTTTAACTGTCATTATCCGTGAGATAATAAGGTGACTATATTATCATCGACTTTATATATTTTTAATATATCTATAAGCTATTATGACTGGAATTGGAATTAGATTGATTTTTGATAACTTCATTTTTTAATTAGAAAGTTGTAAAATTCTGGCGGATAAATATTTTTTTCTAAAATATCTTTAACTTTTCTCAAATACATTGGTATTAAAATTTAGATATCTTCCGGACCAAACATCTTTTGTAAATCAGTTAGTTGTTATCATTCTGTTAGTGTATCAAGAAAAGTAATTGTATTGTTTTCTTCTAGTTCATAAGTTAATTGAATATTATTATGGAAATTATTGAACATTTGAAAACTACGATCGATTTCATGATCCGGAATGTAGAGTAAGCAGTCATCAACATATCGTTTGTAGAAATATATGTGGTACTACAATTTAGAGATGACTTTTGTTTTTAATATTTCCATTACTAAGTTTGCCATTGGTGCTGAGACAGGTGAACCCATAGCCGTTCCAGAAATCTGAGAATAGTATTTATTTTCATGTTGGAAGAACATTGAATTAAGGTAGATTTTTAGATGAGGTAGAATAAGAATTCTTCAAGAGGAACAGAAGTATGTATTTGGATGTCATTCCATCTAGTCTTAACACTGTTTAAAGCTATTTTAATTGGAATGTTAGTGTGTAATGATTGTAAGTCGAAAGATATAAGTTTGTGATTAATTGACATACAGATTATTTTGAAATAAAAAATTGTGAAAATCCCTTGACTCCTGTAAATGATAGTTGCTTTTACCGATTGTATTTCCCAAAATATCTGCAAAATATTTGGAGAGGTTGTATGTTTGACTTCCAATATTACTAATAATTGTGCGAAGAGGAATATTGTTTTTATATAGGTACTTTTGGAAGTCCATAAATATATGAAGATGTTCCATTATGAGATATTAATTTATTTTTTTAAGTTTAGGTCCATGTATTTCTTATTATACCATTTGTTAATGGGAGAATTTAAACAAGTTTGGTTTTTTTTGTAACATTTGTTTTTTCTTTTTTGCATACCTACTGTTTAAGTAAGGTAAGGTTCATTTGCAACCAGCTTATTTTAATTTTTAGGTGGTTGGCTTGGCTCGACGAAAGAATCGACTAGATGTTCTTGCAGAAAAACTTAAAGGTCTCAAAGGCAGTTTTCATGGTATCCAAACTGATCTGACGAAGGAAGAGGAAATTTTAGCAGCCTTTAAAGAAATAAAAGAAACTTTTGGACCTGTGCACATTATTATCAATAATGCTGGTATTTGTAATAATTCTACACTTTGTTATGGAAAGACTGAATTGTGGAAAGAAATGCTGGATATTAATATATTAGGTCTCTTAATAGCAACAAGGGAGGCTGTTCAAAGTAAGTCGACCATGGCCATATTTTACTACTTTTAGACTTTTTTAGAAAATAATATTATTGTTTTTGTTGATGTAGGAATGACTTGCAGCGCTTGGAGAAAATCTCCAGCTAGTAGAATCATCACGTCTCCAGAAAGGATTTGCTTGCTGTGTAAATCTCTTAATGTTCGATCGAGTGCCTCCAATGGTCGTTTGGCGCTATTTTACACTCATTTCAAAATTTTGTAGCAGTTTCCTTACTTTCCTTTTGTAATTGATGGTAGTTTAAACTATGAATAATTGGTACGTTTGCCTTCTAACAATATGTCATGCTCCTGTCAGCGGCTAGCGCTATTTAATTTTGTGTCCAAATCGTATCTAAATGAATGAAATTAATAATCTTGAATATGTTGCATGTGTGAATCCATTTCAAATAGGTAAAAGAGATAAGAATAAGACTTCTTCTTCTTCTTGTGCCACTCCTATCCGAGATTGGAAATCATCAAGGCTATCCTGACCTTGTTTACAGTTGACCTAAAGAGTTCATTAGATGTATAGCCAAACCTCTCTTAAATTACGCAACCGTGACATTCTTCTACGGCCTGGATTCCGTTTTCCTTCTATTTTTTCTTGCATTATATTTTGAAGTAAATATAATGCAAAGTCAAATTCCTTAACTGGGCCGTTATTAGGTCCTTACATAAACGTCCTGATAAAAACAAACACAAAAAAGAATTATTATTATCTAATTTGGTGCAGTGGTTCTAAGCTCATACGTACCTACATACATTTCGGCGATTAATTTTTATTTATGTAGATTTAGCCCATGATTTAGCCCATGATTTAGCCTAACTGCTTACGCCATCTATGTGATAAGTGCCAAAAGAACGAAACCAGCGAAACATGACACTGTAAGGAGAGGTCCTATTCTTCTTCTTCTTAAGGTTCCATCTTCTAACGAAGGTTGGATATCAACATGGCAATTCTTATTTTACTTACAGCAGCTCTAAATAGTTGGCTAGAGCTCAGACTAAACCATTCCCTTAGATTTCGTAGCCAGGAGGTTCGTCTTCTTCCTACATCTCTTTTACCTTTTATTTTGCCCTCTATAATCAAACGTAGTAGCCCATAACGAGGACCTCTTAATATATGACCGAAATATTCAAGTTTCCGCCTCTTAATTGTCTGTACAATTTCTTCCCTCTTATTAACCCTATCAAGGACTTCAATATTAGTAATTTTGTCTACCCATGCTATTCGTAGCATCCTTCGATAACACCAACGCTCAAAAGCTTCCAATTTCTTAATCTCCAGTTGTTTCAATGTCCATGCCTCAGATCCGTAGAGCAAAGTTGTAAAAATGTAGCAGCGCAATAACCTTATCCTTAGATCCATTCTTAGGTCTCTACTACACAATAGATGTTTCATTTTTACAAATTTTGCCCTTGCTATTTCTATACGGCTTTCAAAGAGGTCCTATTGTACTACTATTATTTATCTATGAAGAGGTCCGTCTGCCTTACTTTCCACTTTTTCTTGTCACGTCTCTTCAAGAACCACAGCATTAAATACTTCGCCAGAGAAACATTTTTTTTAGTATATTAACATATAAATTTGGGAATTTGATATCAAAATTATACTATCTATATAAATAGACTTGTCTTAAATAAATTCGACATAAACGTAACCCAAAATTGCTACCAAAAAACGAAAAATGTCGATTCTCCAAAATCAACATGGTTTATAGCTTATGAAATTTTATTTTGATAACTACTTCCAATCTTAACGTCAATAATATGTTTATAAATTTGTGATTTTTATTACATACTTAAATAATTCTAGCGTAGGCGTTCCTTAGTTGAAATAGTTTTTTAATTTATTTTTTGGCTGTTTAAGGTATGCTTGAAAATAACATCGAGGGTCACGTTATCCATATTAACAGTGTTCTGGGACACAAAGTACCCGATATGGTACCACTCAATATATATCCATCCACAAAGTTCGCAGTTACAGCTTTAACTGATTCGTTAAAGTTTGAATTGAACTACAGAAACTCTAAAATTAAAGTAACTGTAAGTATTTACTTTTGCTACATATTAAATTCAATGAAATATATTTAATAATTTAATAATATTTAATATTTTAATAATTTCAGAGTATTAGTCCTGGAGCTACCGACAGCGAATTTTTCATCCGCAGTCAAATACCTTTAGACCATGACCAGGTCACAGCGTCAGTGGGAGAAGAACTACTCAAGCCGGAAGATGTGGCAGATGCGATTCATTATGCGTTATCGACTCCTTCACACGTTCAGGTACATTATTTTATACATTTTTCTTGTTCCCAGACAGCACAAGTACGTCCCATGGACATCCGAAGGATGTACCTAATTAAATGTCCGGACATCCCACGGACATCCGTTTACATAATTTGGACGTCCCCGGGAAGTCCAATAAGACCTAAATGTTACCAAAAAGTACGTCTCCTGAACGTCCCAGGAATGTTCATGGGGACGTACATAGTACATATACAGAACTTAATACGGACTTATATAGGACCTAAGAAGGATGTATTGGGGACATCCATTGTACGTCCACATGGACTAATTCAGGACCTAAATAAGGATGTATACAGGACATAAAGGGAACTTACAAAAAACTAATAAAATGAAAAAGCAAAATAAATGGGACTTACATTACTCATACTTACTTTACAAATGTAGCAACTCACACCACAACCACAAAAATTACCTATAAAATTCCTATATACCTACTTAAAGACTATAATAATAAATTACCAAACTATAAACTAGTATCGAAAGCAATAAACTAATTCTAATTACAACCACAACCACAATGATTATAATTCGAGAAATAAAAGATTCTGAAAATGCTAGCTAAAAATAAAAATGCGTTAAAAAGAAACATAAATACAAGGAGATAAATAGAAGCGTCGTTAAAACATAACCACATTCTTCTTTCATCTTCTAATTTTTAAATTTCAGTTCCACTACAAAATATCCCTTGGACGTCCCTCGGACGTCCAAAAGAAGTCCCGGATCGTTTGGACCTTAAAATGGCATAATAAAATGGACGTCCCAGGGATGTCTTGTGCTGTCTGGTTTAGTAGGTACTTCAATAATTATATCAATCGACTTTTTAAAAGTCTATAAATGCAATATGCGTATTTAAATTAAATTTTCGTCATTTTTCGAATATTTGTTTTGTAATCAAATCATTTTAAAGGTTATTTTTTATAGGTTTGGAACTTTGAAATGGAATGAAACAAAGGTGATTTTTTTAAATTGACAGAAAATCTACTTTATTTGAAAGATAATCTTTTGGCATTATTATTTAAATATGAGCGCCATGGCTAACTCTGACGTAGTCTAATCTGAAGGTCCAATTTTCGATGACTTTTTCCAACATTTGTGACCGTATATCGGCAATAACGGGGCAAATGTCCTCTAAGTGGTCAATCGTTTCACGCTTATCAGCGTGGACTAGTGACTTCACATACTACTAGACTAGACTACAGAAAATAGTCTAGCGGTGTTAAATCCCATGATCTTGGAGGCCAATTTACAGGTCCGAAATGTGAAATTATGCAGGTACGAGACGTTTTCTTTAATAAAGCAATTGTGACACGAGATAAGTACCATGTTGTGCCGTATAATTGTTGAGGTCCTTTAAAGCATGTTTGTTCAATTAAGGAATGAAAAAATCAGTAATCATAGCTCTATAGCGGTAACCATTGACTGTAACGTTTTTGGCAGCATCGTCTTCAATGAAGTTTAGACTAATTATTCCAACAGTCAGTAAAGCACAGTAAACAGTCAGCTTTTCTGGATGTGATGGTGTCTCGATATACACTTGAGGATTATCTTTACTCCAAATATGACAATGTTGTTTGTTGACGTAACTATTTAACCAAAAGTGAGCTTCATCGCTAAACAAACTTCGCTTATGAAAATCAGGTGTATATTCGGCACCGAATCAACAACATGCTGTGTTATTCTGCAGCTTCCATTATAGCACGAGTTGGATTTTGTTAGCATGCAAACCAAGATCCTTTCGCAAAATATTCTATTAAGTGGATGGGCACATATCCAACTACTGAACACGATGGTTGAAAGACATATTTGGATTCGTCGTTCAAGCATCACTCTATTCATGCTGAAATGTTAAACCATAAATCACCTTCCTCTCCTAAACCAAACTAAACATAAGTGACTTGACTGCTGTCAAAATGGCGGCCACCATTTAAAAAAGTGTTGCTCACTTGAATTTCTATACTTACCTCATAAAAAAACAGGCGCTAGTTAAAAAAAATCGTATTTATTATTATTAGATTGCATTCGATAGACTGATACCTCCATAGCAACTGTTGCGGTCTTCTTTTTTAGGCAGCGATAAAAACTGTGCCGTTTGCCAAGTTTCAGGTATTTTAAATTCCTCTTACTTTTAAATTTTCGAATCTGAATCCAACTGCAATTTTTCTGCCCAGTATTAGGCTATGTATGTATTTGCGAGCCATAAATCATCAAGATTTTTGTTGCACTGTGATTAACAAAAGCTGCATACTCTTAGGTATTACACATTCTGTTTCACAGGGAGAATGCCGATGGGTAGGTAGTTGAGTGTCCGACAGACTCTTAAGTCTAGATTCATTCCGTGAGGTGGCTTTGGGTTTAGTTGAAACAATTCGGGAGATTATCCGCTAACGCTACTAATATATTTTTTCCTTGATTTAAGTCGGCTAGTTCCTGGCGGTTCCTAGAATTTGTATAATGATTTTGTTTTTCGAAAGTTTGCCTGAAGTTCTTCACATATTGAGAGATTTATCTACGGTCTTCTGGTGATACGAAATCAGCTGACCGATAATAATAGGGGAACATAGTTTGATTTGATGTAGCCGGTACGTATTCTATATGTTTCATTTAATGCAATGGTGACTTCTTGGGCATGCCTAGATCTACTCTACTATCAGTATGTTTCAAGTGTTATTTTTTTTAGAATACATTCAGTTTTACATATGCCAAATGGGTGTTGAAATGGAATGCACGTACTTGGGTTTTAGGAGTTTTGTTTGTAATAGTTTGTAATAGGTATATTTACTATTATGTACTTGGAATATTTTTAGGTTCAAGAGGTCACAATAAAACATGTTACTGAGAAAATTTGATATAAAAATACCAACTACCAGAACAATACATCTTGGAAAGGCATTGTTGAGAAAAAAATGATGGATTTTATTTTTTAATTGTCATAAAAATAAACGATTTTTTATACGTAGTTTGTAATTTGCCGCGATGCTTTAATAAATATTTTAATTGGTGTGTTTTATTATTAATGGCCTATTTCCTTCTTATCCAGAAAATATTATGAAGAGGAGAGCAAATTCAACATTCCGCAATAAATATCTCTACTAAATAAATAATCAGTTATATGGAAATCGTTTTTTTCGACGTAGAAATCGAAATGTCAAAATAAATACATATTCAACTAAAATTATTTTAATTCTATATATAAAGAATAAGCTGTTCCGTTTTATTTTTAACTACCTAATATGTAATTCCATACACCACAGCCGGTCTTATGTGTGTTATAGAATTTTCCCTTCAGCTTCATTGAAATTTTTCTATCATCATCAACACACCACTTACTTCCTTCCATTTCATCCATCAAATGCTGATTATACTGCTTACACCCCCATTTATTTTTCCATTACTATATAATACCAATCCTAAGTGCTCAAAGCAATTACTTTTCACAAACATTCCACCATTAAAAGATATTATTTTATTTGTAGTAACCCCATCTTTAAATCACTATTGCAAATAGTCTACTTTTTGTCCTACTAAGTTTTCAACCTTTTTCCTCAATAGATTATCTTCACTATTCCAGTTCTTGTCGCTCTCACTATTTCATACTAACAGTACACCATCAGCATACATTAAGCACCAGGGGATGTTGTTCTGTAATTTTACTATTATATGATCCAAAACTAATCAGAATAAATAGGCACTAAGTACAGAGCCTTGGTGAAATCCTACTTTTACATACAATTTATCAGTGTTTCTCACATCTTTTCTAACACTGGTTGTTACACCCTCATACACGTCTTTCGAAATATCAAAAAGTCACCAGGAATTGACCTAATAACACTAAAAATGTTAAAAGAATTGCCTAAAGAGGGCATACTAATCATTACATATATTATATTCGCAATATCAAAGTGTAATTATTGGCCTAATAATCTAAAAATTTCAGAAATACTTTTATTGCCAAAACCAGGAAAGGATCCCAGTGAAGTCTCATCTTATCGATCAAAGAGTCTCTTATCAACTATCTCCCAATTTCTAGAAATATTTTTAATAAAAAGAATCGATTTAGACTTTACAGGCGCAGACTGAACACCAAATTATTAGTTTGTATTTCGACGAGAATACTCAACTTTCCAGCAATGCCACCGAATAAACCATAAAATCAACTCCAAGCTTTTGATAAGGTTTAGCATAAAGGACTTCTTTATAAAATTAAACAAATATAACTATAATTCCGCAAGGCAGCGTCCAGGGACCTCTATTATATTTATTATATACGTCTGATTTGCCAATTAACGTAACAATTGGTACATTTCTTCTTCTTCTTAGGATGCCTGTCCGTTCCGAACGTTAGCGATCATTCTGGCTGATGATTTTGTTGGTTGCTATACGAAATAGCTGTGTTGAGGTCTTTCTATACCATGCTCTCAGGTTAGCAAGCCAGGATATTCTTCTTCTTCCTGGGGCTCTTTTTCCTTTAATTTTACCCTGCAAAATGCATAGGAGTAGCTCGAATCTACCTTGATTTCTCATTGTATGTCCCGAGTACTCCAGCTTACAGCTTTTCACGATGTTGACCAAATCCGCGGTTGTGTTCGTCCTCCGCAGTAATTCTTCATTAGAGACTTTGTCTGTCCATGGTATCTTCACTATTCTTCTGTATAACCATAGCTCAAAAGCCTGAAGTTTTGATAGAGTTTCCGCCTTCAAGGTCCACGTTTCTACTCCATACAGAAGCACTGAATACACATAACTATTAAGGAGCCTTATTTTTGTTTTCAGGGTGAGGTCATGGCTCATTGTATTGTGAGACACGATTACAAGTCATAAAAAATCGCAACACAACAGAAAATAAAAATAAATGAAAGCAAGTCACCTAATTTTTTAATTACTATTTATAACTGGGAATAAGCCACAATTAAAGATAAAAATACGTTTATTGACGTTTCAATTTCCAATTCGGAAATCGTTCTCAAAATTTCTCAATTCGTTTCCGAATTGGAAATTGAAACGTCAATAAACGTATTTTTATCTTTAATTGTGGCTTATTCCCAGTTATAAATAGTAATTAATTTACAATGCCACAAGAAAATAGCTTCAGAACAATATTAAGAAGTGAACCAAGTCAACTTTTTGTTATTTACGAGTTAAGAACACTTTAACATGCACCAACTAGATAACTTTTCGGTATAATAATGAACCAAGTCCTTGTTCTGATAATATCCGTTAGGCAGCAGCAAGTTCTGGTGTTTATTGAAAGATTGTTATTTTGTGTCAGAATACTACTAAACCAAATCCAGGTAGTATTTGTACAGTTCGACACGCTTTAAACCTTTAGTTTATAGCTTTTGACAGTTTATTACATATTATTTTTGTTGTATTGTTATATTGCAAGTTGTATTGTGCGATGAATGTTACATCTGGATCAGGTGAAGAGTGGTCGCTAGGCGCATTTGACATAGGTAAAGACAATGTTTGGATATTTGACTTTCAAAAAGCATTGCCTTTTCCCAAACTCACAACTTTAATAGCCTACTATAAGAGAAATCTTTACATCTATAACTTTGCCATTTATTGTTTTAATAACAACACTGTTTATATGCACGTCTATGGTGGAATATGTTCTGAAGATTTAGTTTCATGCCTTAGGAAACATTTTTATGAACACATCAGGACATTTAAACACGTGATGTGTTTTGACTCATGCACTGGGCAAAATAGGAATATAACAACTAACCTTACTCTACTGAAACTTGTTCAAGACAGAGAGCGCAGCTAAGAAACATAGCACCATCAATATGCTGATGACTGGTACATAATTAAAACGGCAAAAGTAAAAAAGCCTTAGTTTGAAGTTCTACAACTACAACGAGAAGAGTTTTTGAACACAAAATCCCTCTAAGATTTAATCACAAACAGGAAAAAGGACACTGACGGTAAGCAAATCAATTGAATTAGGATAAGGTGGTTGTGTTTTAAAAAAAGATCACCTTTTTAATAAAAATAAATTAATCTTCCGAACCTTGGGCATCTCGAAAAATACAATCTGGAAGACCCGTGGAAGTGCAAACCCTGTTGGCTTCACCTAACGAGAAGACAAATGAATTGAAAAAGGACATGTCTCTGCTACCTTACATACCCCCTATTCATCATGGATACTTTAGAAACCTTCCAGGGAATCAGACAGCTCGTCAAACCGAGGACAACGAAGCGACAGAAGGAAATGATTCAGACGGCGACGATTCGCTTTTTTATATGAACATTTCCTTTCACCTAAGAAGTGATATTTTGTTTTAATATTTCTTCGAATACACTTGGAGTTGATTCATTATCTTCCTTAAATTCCTCAGAATACATTTGAACCAAGTCCACTTTTTTTACATTTTTTGTGGTTATTACATCAAATTTGGCCACTAAAAGTTATGTAAATGTGTAAGTTACTCCTTTATGTTTTTAAATTGAATATAGACTTTTAAAAATGTTACCAGGTAATTTTGTTATGAAGCTTTAACTTTAAACCTCTGTAGCTCAAATGTAGAAAAAGTGGACTTGGTTCACTTCTATTTTGAACCCTCTATATATCAACAAGGAAATACCTAGGACTAAAATCATCAAATATCTTGGGTTACACCTAGACTAAATCCTGTGTTGAAAGGAACACGTCGTCAAACGAAAAGGAAAAAAAGTCAACTAAGACAAAAAGAAATCAATTGTTTAATTGGAAAAACTCGTAAGCTATCACAAATAATAAAATTTTAGCCCCCAAATGTGAAATAATTTTTTTTCCGTTAAAGGAAGTAATATTGAAATAACTTCCTAACTACGCATACAACGACATCTAAAAAGAAAGCAAAAAGTAAAAAATCCGAAGATCTACTTGTTCGAAACCAAAATTCAGATTCTCACCTAATTTCATGAAAGGTTTTTACTTAGAGGGATCGCTATGACGTGGAATCCAATTTTAGATTCCCCATGTCGCTTTATTCATCGTCTGTTTGCTTTGAAAATTATAGAAAGTCCAAATTTTTCTCTACTTATCTATTAGTTTTCATCGCTCTTCTTCTAAATTCAGTTTTTCGTCTTTTCCAGTATGATTAGGACCAAATTTCTTATTGGCATCATTTCTTCATGTCACAATGCATTCGTTATGTATTGTTATGTAATTTGTAATAAAATAATTTAATTATTAGTTATATAAATTATTTATTTGTGAAAAGAGAGTCAAAAAGAAAGTAAACTTGATATCTTGGTAGGTATCATCTGCAAAACATCGAATTATGCTGTCTCGCTTATTACTTGAATGGTTAACTCCGAAATCTGAAACAAATAAATTATAAATTTAAATTGTTTAAAGATAAATAAGATGACGAATGCCAAACAACTCTATTATATCTTAATTCCAACACCAAAAATTGATGAAAGAGGAAATGACAATACGACTTTGACATATAATGTAATATCATTTAAGTTTATTTTCTATCTGGAAGAATTAATCACCATTTTGTGTAGATAACCACATTTTGGCGGCATTTAAGTGTAGGGATGAATAAAACTTTGAGTTTGTGGCCATCGAGCAAAAAGACAAACGAGGGAATCTAATCGTTATGAAAAGGTCACTAACCTAAAATTCATAAAAGTTGCATCTTAATATGGCAGACATATCCGGAAATGCAAAGGCGCCAAATTTAAATTTTACGACACTTCACAATAATAACTGTTGCATTCAAATAATTAAATCTTTACTTACGTTGACATGAGGAGGAGTAGATAGCACGTAATGGACCGAATCGGCTACATCCGTGGCACTCAGAGCTGCAACTTTTTCAATCTGCTCAATGTTCTCAATTGGCCTACCCAACTGTTGTGAAACATTTTTCATCATGTCAGTCACAATTGCCCCTGGGCTAATACTCTAAAATAAAGTGGGATTATTTTTTGCATAAAGAAATTAAAATATTTTTAATCGCAAAAGAATGAAAAATGTCGAACATATACTCTTGTATCATATGACCTTGTGTGACGAACAAATTTTGGGTAACGTTAAATTTTTACTCTAGAGTAAAATTATAACGGTAAATTTTTACTCTAGAGTAAAATTATAACGGTAAATTTTTACTCTAGAGTAAAATTTTAACGTTAGAATTTTACTTTATAGAGAAATTTGAAAATGTAAGATTTTTACAATGTGTGTTTAAGTTTTATTGTCTTTATCATATGTTAAAATAATTTCATCTAATGAATATTTTTGTGTTATTAATAATCTAATATTTTCTAATAATAATTTAACGTCTGGTTACTAATAAACATAATCTACTTATACTACCGAGCTCTTCATTGAATGCAGCAATATTTTTAAATACTGCATTGCAGGAATAAAACGGTTCGTGGAAGTATACAAATATTATAAAAGAGTTCCTTTCATGTCCCTTTTATGAATTAAAATAGCTAACATCTTCATTAAATATTTATTTGTAAATGATCAACTTAATTTAACCCTTTAAGCGGCACTGGTAGGATATACTACCAACTTATAAAGACTAATAAAGTCTATATCTCATAAGTAAAGCATTAAATTACGTCCGTATTGAGTCTGGGTACATAAAGACATTTTCCAAAACAGCAATTATATGCACAAATTTATTTATAGATGAACTACCGCGAATATTGCTACAGAAAAAAGCCTCTCTCTGAAGAAGAACTACTACTAGAGTTATTGGAGGTAACAGAAGAGCTTGCAGAAAATCCCGATGTTGGTGGAGACTCTAACGCACATGATTTTGAGCGAGTTGACTCTTCGTCAACAGGAACCTCGCAAACGCGCTTTTCTATTTCGTCACCAGCTTTAAGTGTAAATTCTTCTTTCCATACGTCAAAACGTATACGAATAGTATCACCGATTAACCAACCTCAGCTATCGACATCGCAGGAATCTGCCGGGTAGTTAGCATAGGAAGAGGAATTGGCGGATGATCCTTATGACTCCGATGACTCTGTGGCTGATGTTACCTATCAGCCAGAAATACCTAGACCACTACAACGTTCTTTTCTGGAATCGGACAGTGATGAGAGCGCTGACCAGCCACACGAAGATCAAGAAGACTTTGTAAATTGGTCAAAAGTACCTTCGTTGTCCCAAGCGTATACAGACTTCTAGTATGTAGATGATATGGATCCAACCGTGCAGGTAAAAAATTATTTTACTCAATTTATTTTCAAATAATTGTTTAATATTACAGATTCATTCGGAAAGACCGATAGACTTCTTGAATTTGCTGTTGTCTATTGAAACTCTACAGTTGATTGTAGATCAATCTAATTTGCATGCCAGTCAGAGAGGAGTATTTCTGAACATTACAGTGGCGGAGCTAAGGGCTTTTCTGGGGGTGTTGATCATTATGGGTTTTAACTCTTTGTTGGCTATCCCTAAATATTGGTCAAGAGACCCAAATTACAAAACTCCCGTATTTGCAAAATTTTCCCTCTAAAAAAGTTTTGTTAATTTTAAGGTTTATTCATTTGAACGACAATGAGGGAATGCTGAGACGTGGTGATCCAGGCTATGAAATCTATGGCAAAAGCTTTAGTCCAAGCAGAAATGTCGCGATTGATGAAAGCATGGTAGCGTCTAAGGGACGAACAACACTGAAGTAGCACATGCCAATGAAACCTGTCAAAAGGGGATTTAAAGTTTGGCCAATGGTATGTGCTAAAACGGGATATTTGTTGAAGTTTGATGTTTACCAAGGTAAAACAGCGATAAATCCGGAGCATACATTAGGGGAAAGAGTTGTGATTGAATTATCAGAGGTGCTGCAGAATAGAGCCTTCCGTTTATACTTTGATAATTTCTTTCCACTAGTGAAAAAACTATTAGACAGAGGTCTGTTTGGATGCGGGACAATCAGGCAGAACAGAAAGCATTTCCCGAAAGGCGAACTTCTCGAAGATAAAAAGTTAGCGATGAGCCAGTCTGATTTTGAAATGTGTAGCGAGGTATCTGTGGTGAAATGGAAATACAAAGGTAGTAAACCTGTTACAGTATGTAGCAACTTTCACAATGGTCGCGATAAATTACACGTTCTTCGAACCAATACAAAAGGTATCAGAGACAATGTTGTTTGCCCGATGTCTATAGTTGACTATAACAAAAGTATGGGTGGGGTGGATGGGTTTGATCAAAGAATGGAGGTCTACAACATAGGCTGGAAGAGCCGTAGGTGGTGGATGCAGCTCTTTTATTATATGATTGAGACAAGTGTCGTCAACTCCTACATCATTTTTGCGTTGGGAATGAAGAAAGAGAGAAAAAAGCCCCTTAGTTACGTTTAATTTCGGAGCAAGTTGGCCGACGAATTGATAGAAGAGTTTTCTGCCGGGAAAAAAATGGGTCGTCCACTGTTAGTGACAGTAACGGACAACATAGGAGATTTGGCGACTAAAACTACCTCACGGCGTTGAGCTCAGTGTAGCAAAGAGGGAAAGCAAAAAAGAACTTCTGTCAAATGTTCAAAATGTGAAGTGGCTTAGTGTATTGAATGCTTTATACCATACCATCAGTAACTGTAAATTTTAAGAATTTTTTTTGTTGCAAACAAACACTCATAATACGGTTTACCACTGTTTTTTGACAGGTTGACATATAGAACTAATTCAAAATGACCTTCAGGATACCTATTTAATTCATTTTAACTAACATACCATATTTAACTTTCATTTTGTCTCTCCAAAAAAGTTACCTGTTAAAGGGTTAACACATTTTACATAACCCCTCAAGCGTCTAGGAGTTCCTATAAAAATTGTCAAGACCGATTAAGTTATGCAAACTTAAAATTATATTCATGGATTTTATAGTTACATTTCATTTAAACTGCCAATTTTTTGGGTTTTATTAAAAAGATCACAAGAAGTTCAATCGTCTAATCAATTGAAATAAGTTAAATAAAACAAATATGACCAAATGTTTTGAATATATTTTGGATATGAGTGATAACGTCATAATTACCAGTCTTACTTAGTAATTACAGTACTAACAATTGAAACACCATTAGATCGTAATATAAAATTATATTGATAACCAAAGTAAATATTACTTATAAAAGCTATTGTAATGGTTATTTTCATAACAACGTTATTTTGGTTTTAAAATTAATTTATTTTATTTAATTTACTGCAATTTTAAATGAACATAAGAAAAGCATTTTAGGAAAATTTAAATATTGAAAAATAAATATGTTTTATCATAATAATTACTTAAATTATAATGTAACTACTATTTTAAATGCAACACACAAATTGTTCTCTTATTGTTGTACGGTCATTTCCACAAATCAGAGGAGGAACTAAACATGTACCTAAATGTCTTTTTTTTTTTAATAGGCTAAATAAATATTTAGCATTAAATGGGACCAGCACATTCATTTATTCCTAATGGCCTACTGCTTGGCCGTGAATGAAACTACTGGCCAGATTCCAACATACCTGATGTTACGTCGTGAAGTTCGTTTGCCCTGTGACCTAGAGTTTGGCTGCAGACCTCCCAAAGAACATGTTGCAAGTGAATAATACGTCGATCGCCTGGAGTTAACAATAAAAAACATTCATGAACTTGCCCGACAACCCATCCAGTTAGCCAGTGACAGAATGAAAGATCAATATGAATCTAGATGCAAGAATTAATGCTTTGAAGCAGGTGCTCGTTTGGCTTTATAATCTACAACGTCGTCGAGGCTTGTCTCCTAAAATGCAAAGACAATGGGAAGGTCTGTATGAAATTAAAAAGAGAATAAATGACGTAATATACCGAATTAAGAAGTTGCGGAAAAGTAAACCAAAAGTAGTGCACATAAATTGTCTTGCACATTAAGCTGGGTCAAATGAAACAGAAGGAGCATAAACTCTTCAACATGAGATCAAAGATGATCGGCGACCAAACTTTAATGAATTTATGTCAAATTATGCAGAGCAGAAGTCAAACAGACGTTGCTGAGATCCTCCACACGAAGAGAAGTGTCATTAATCGTTTGTGGTTAAGGTGTCAAGAAACTGGTGATGTTGCTGAATATCATACAGGTCGTACAAGAAGAACCAACCAAACCATTAGAAATAGACTGCATGAAGTAGGGTTAAATGTTTGAACACCTGCGAGAGTGCCTATGTTATACAGAGGAAATCGCGTTCATCGATTTCAGTTGGCACAAGACGACGAAAAAGTGGTCTCGATTTGGATTTGCACCAGATACAAGACAGACAAGAATTTGGAGACGATTTAGAACTGCTGAATTATTGGCCATTGTGCAGGAAGGTTCATAGAAAGCAAGGCGGCAGTATTCAGAAAACTCACACTACGCTTCTTCAACCGTAATCAAACGGAATGCTCGGAAGACATCATAGAACTATTTGTCAATACCTTTGACGGTTCGTTGTTGATAATCAAAAAGATTGGGATACTTTGATTCCTCTATTCCTGCTACCTAGCCTAGCCAATAAGCGACCGGTTAATATGTAAGAAGTATTAAAAATTTAGAATGTTGTAGATGTCATCAAAATATCCTGAAATTTCTTGTTAGGTCTAGAACACCAGAAAATGTATGTCAACAGGAAGTTGACACTTCAAGCAGTACTAGTAACTGACTTTTTGAATAGTTCTCTCATTCAGTTAAAATCATCAACTATTGTAAATTGTTCGCTATTTTTATGACTAATTAAAAATACTAATTAAAAAACTCACCGTTACTTTAATGTTGGTTTTTTCCGTTGCTTGTTCCAGACGTAGAGTTTCAGTAAGTGCACTAACAGCATGTTTGGTTGCGGAATATACATTAAGCTTTGGAAAATTAACTACTTTATGGCCTGCAATACTGTTGATGTTAATAATATGGCCTGCGATTTTATTTTCCTTCATTTGCTTTATGGCTTCTCTACTTGCAATGCAAACCGAAATTACGTTTATATCAAATTCTTGTTTTAAATTTTTCGTTGTAATCGAACTTAAATCATCTAGAAGTAAAACGGCCGCATTATTTATAAGAATACTGACAGGTCCGACATTCTCTTTGGTCCAGGAAAATGCTTTTACAATGTCTTCTTCTTTGGAGACATCGCCAGTATAAGAAAAAAATTTTCCCTTCTTTGAAGATAACTTCTTAGCTACTTCATCTAAAACGTTGGCACGTCTTGCAACACCGACAACCTTAAACATATTTTTACATTAATAAATAAAATGAGAAAAATTTTAAAAATCAGAAACGAAATAGTCAGATTGAAGAAAATGTATTCTTTATTCAAAAAATGAATATTGATTTAATATTAACATTTGTTATATAGTGCGTTGAGAAAGCGCCGAAAGAGATGTAGTTGCGGAGAGATTAATGCGCCACCTATTATTATTACACGAAATTATTGTTTGGCGCCATCGATGTTTATAAAAAAATGTTAGTTTTCTCTGTCGTACAGGGGAACGCGACTGTCAGCAGTCAGTCTATTTATCAGTCAGTATTATATCTATGAATTTTGTATGGTTTTTGGTCGTTTTTGAGGTTATGTAGGATTGTAATATAATTTGTCTCCGCAATATAGTTCCAATCTTTTACTCAGATAGTTTTTTATCGCATAAAGTTTCTTAGTTTAAAAAAACAAACCATACAATTATATATAGTATAATGGATAATCTAAATTCAGAAATCCCAAACTCATAAAACCTTATTCCAATAACCTCAAACCAAATCAAATAGACACAAATCCAACAATCCCAAACCTTACCTACAATGTATTGTAGACTTGGTATTTATAGGCTTAAAATTGTAGACTTCAGATTTTATAGGTTAGGTTAGGTCAAATCTGATATTGGGGGATTTTAACGTTCGAATAGGCAATCAAGTAATATTCGGAATTATGCAAAAATATAACGAGAATGTTACAAACGAAAATGGAGAACTTCTGCACCAATAACGAACTTAAAATAAACACATTTTTGAACCACAAAGACCAACACAAATATATTATATATTCAACGACACTTATGGACAAAAATTTATGATTGATTATATTATAACCAAAAGAGATATACATCCATCAAATATAATCGACGTAAGATGCCTCAACTCAGCAGATGTAGATAGCGACCATAGCATAGTACTATGTAAAATAAAAATTATCCTGAAATACTTCACATCCAAGAGAGCGGCGCCAACATAAACAAAAATCAAAGTCGAAGGACTAAACACCGAGTCTACGAAATACTTATAGAGGAAAAGAATATCAGAGAAAATCGCTGGGAATGAAATAGTAGAAAACGATAACATCGAGGAAAGCTGAGAAAAACTCAACAATAATATAATTAACGCAGCAACAGAATCACTTGAAGAGAGGAAAGTAACGACCACTAACATGTCAAAAAAGAAAACACCATGGTTAAGAGAGGAAGTGAAGACAAAATCTGAAGAAAATAAGAACCCTTTTTTACAATACAGAACACTGTAGTGTTATAAATTTTATAATAAGCCCCTGTTCGTTTATCTCGTCAGTACGCATAAAGATTGCCATAAAATCTGTGTTTGTCTTTTATGAAAATCCTTAATGCGTAAATAACGCTGGATATATTTTTTGTCTATGTGTACTTTCAAATCCCATAACCTTTTGTTACAAAGTCAGGTAGAACTCCGGTTTAAAAACTACGTGCTATTTTGTTAATTTGTATTATGTTATATCTATTTCGACAAGTTTTTTGTCGCATAAAGAGATTATATTTCATGATGCCCCCCCCTGTCTTTCGTCGTTAAAACGCAATAAACTGGAATATTTAAAAAGTTTTTTTTATCGTTTAGAAAGAGGGTCGCCCACACCGATATTAGATTTAGGTCAGGAGGGGATTATTTTGCGTTTTTGGTTTGAAATCGAACGAAGGTTAGGCAGGTTTAAAAGAGCAACGAAACAAGGAGGTTTTGAAGAGTTGATCAAAGGGAACGGTTCGTGGTTATGTGGTGATAAAAAGCCGGCATTAATTTTCCGAAAATAGTGGAATTTCACACTATGTAATATGTGAAATTTGGAAGAGTGACCACTGTTTCTATGTTCTAAAGATTTGTGTCAACATTTGAAAGGTGAATAAGATGATTCCCGTTTTTTTTTGAGAAACCGTTTCCAAGGATTGCATAAGTGCCTCTTACACCTCGCTTATTTGCTCCTGGTTAGTTCCTGAAGCAGTTTGTTTTTGTTTGTGTCCAGAGAGTTCAACTCCAAACATTTTGCAGAAATCCCAGAACTTTTTCAGTGCATTTTAATGAAAATCCAGGTAATTTTTGTGTTTAACTGTAAAGTAACGATATACCTACATTTTTTTAATAACAATAATTGCTTTCATAACAATTTAAATTTTTAATAATAAAATATTGTAAATCTTAGGGTGTGGTTATGCTGTCAATTTAATTGTTCTCTGAAATATGATAGCTAGCCTTAATTTTCTGTGACTTTGTTTATTTTGTTCTTTAAAGAGGTTAACTTTATGATATTTTTATTTATAAAAATAATTAGTTAATTTTAATAATTTATTTCTGTCACAGTTCTAACCTAATAACAGTTTTGAAAGTTTTTGTAGCGACTCCCAATTGTAAACAGATAGGACATAATATGTAAGTTTTTTTTATATTTTATTTTGGTATAAACCCATGAATTTGATTATCTGTTTGATAACTGTTTGTTTGAGACAAAAATAAACGTTTAATTTGCTTTTCTGATCTATTTTGAGTTTTATTTGAAAAAGATATATTTTTGATATTTTATAATTATTTCCCTAGTTACAACTAGTGGTTGTAATAGGTATAATTAGGCACCTCAAGTGGCGCCTTATATTAAATTCCTTGAGGTGTTTCCGGTTTATTTTTATAAGTACCCCCTTTATTTCTTTTTTTTTTGTAGTTGCCCCAATCCAACCCCCATATCTGCAACTTATCCACGACCCAGCTCTCCAACAACCAACTGAGTGCCGTACGCACTAGTTCCGATTATTTTGTTTGACAAATCTTGTCCCCCATATTCTTACCCTGTGGTAAGCAAAATAGTCGTTACAACACAACAAACACAACAGGCATATAACCACTATAAACGAATCACTCACCTTACTCAGCTTCTTAAAACAGAGAGAACACGACTTATATGGAACACAAAAAAAAGTATGTAGAATTATCAAAGGACAACGAAAAGAAATGAACGAACTAATAAAAATGAAACAAATTCAGAAGGAAACATGGGTAGACTATCTTCGGTCACTATTTCCTAAAGGTGATGATAATGAACCACCAACACTAAAGGTGACGACAAAACAAGAAATAAATACTGAAGAGGAAGAGGTAAAGGAAGAATTAAGGAAATTATCAGATCTGACCAAAGGTATTAAAACTAATCCAAAAAATAATAGAACAAAACAGAATTTCTCATGAATAGAGATCAGGAAGACAAATTGGACCCGGAAAATTATAGAGGAATTAATTTATTAAACACAATACTAAAATTAACAACCAAAGTGATAACAAATAAACTGAATGTATAGCACTAACCGAAAAACAACAAGGTTTTAGGTCTAGAAGATCATGCACCTACCCTATATTTATAATGAGGCAAGTGCAAGAGAAATCATTAGAATACATCGAACCGGCATATCTATGTTTCGTGAATCTTAAGAAGTCATTTGATCGGGTTTAATTAAAGGTCGTTATCTACTTATTGTACATAAAAGAGATACCTCTAGAAATAATCAAAACGATTGAAAATATCCACCAAAATAACACAATAAAAGTAAAAGTAGAAGAAGAAATAGATATAAAAACAAATTTACTAAGATGTAAATTGGAGCTGGAAGGTCAGATAGTCGAACAAGTGGAAGTGATGGAGTTTAAATATCTAGGCATCACATTATCTAGCTGAGGAAGTGGAAGATCAAAGAGTCAACAGAGCCGCAGTTTGTCTGAATGAAATATATGGAGAAATAAAAATATCAGGAATGAAATGAAAGGCAGAATATATAAAACAATCATCAAACCAATAATGACATAAGCGGCAGAAACACGATCTAACACAGAGAGGATAAAATGAATGTTAGAAACAAAAGAATGTTAGAGATAAAAACACTTGGAAAAATTAATGGTAAGACACTTTGGGACAGAACTAGAAGTACAGATATACGACGTAGATACAAGGTGGAGAATAAGGTCAAGAACTGGATAAGAAATAGAAGGGTAGAATGGAACGATCGAAAGACGGCAAGAGATGGTTTTCCAATAGGAAGACGATCAGTAGGAAGACCACAAAAACGATGGAACGACAACTTACTGGGGGCACATTCAAAAACAGACAGAGTCATGTCTACATACAAAGAAGAAGAAGCAGAAGATTTATGGGTTTGACATATAGGTGTCGATGGTTGTGATAATTGTGATATGAAAGATTGGAATCCATATTACTAAAATTGCATGCTTGAGATTTATAGACTTGGGTCGTGAAAGCTTGGAGTTTCATAAATTTGTGATGTGAAAATATAAACCTAATTGAACCTCATTGCTCATTGCTCAAACTTAATTCTGCTTGATCGTATTCACGAGGTAGGAAAGGAAATGGGCACTAAAATAAACTCAAAGAAAACAAAATTTTTAGTGTTTAGTCGTGACCCACATCCCGATGCAAAGCTTCAATTGAACGGAGTCCAAGTTGAGAAAGTTCACAAAATGGCATATTTGGGAACTGTGATAATGGACCAACTAGATCCAGACATACAAATAAAACGTAGAATAGCAATGACTAAAACTATTTTTATTAAATGAAGTCATTTCTTTGCAATAACCATCTCAGTTTAGAACTAAGGCAAAGAATGGTTAAGTGCTATGTTTGGTCTGTATTTTTGTATACTGCAGAAGTGTGGGCGCTAAAAGTATCGATCGTGAACAAAATTGAAGCATTGGAAATGTGGGTTCATAGACGAATGATACAGATATCTTGGACAGCAAGAAAAACTAATAAAAGAAGTACTAAGGAGCGTCAACACAGACAGAGAACTGCTAAAGACTGTTAAACATAGAAAAATGTCTTATCTGGGACACATAATAAGGGGAAGTCGGTATAAAATTTCACAACTGATCCATAAAGACAAAATGGAGGGCCGTAGAGGTGTAGAAAGGAAACAAGTTTCTTGGTTAAAAAACATTCGTAAATGGACTCAGATACTAAATGCAGGACAATTATTCTATATTGCAGAAGATCGAGAAGCCTTCGCAATGGTGATCGCCAACGTCGAATAATTCTGATATGCCACGCGAAGAAGAATTGGCTCAAAATTGCAGGCTTGGTTTTTATTTTCTTGGGGTGTGGAAACTTGGGGTAAGTGGGCTGCTAGCCTCCTGGTGTTTTAGTGGGGGTCGTATTTTAAGTGATTTCTAGGGACAAAGTGAGTTGGGATGTAGGTAGAAAGGTCGGTCGGACCACGTGTTGTAGGGATTAAATTCTTTTACGAAAAATAAGCGAATTACTTCGTTGTTTTCAGGGTTAGGTGCTTGGCGCGTTAGCCTGTTTATAATTTGGTATGGGTGATTTTTGGGGGGTTAGAAGGGTTAGGATGGGTGGCTAGTTTGTTTAGCTCAACTAAGAACTAGGACTTAATTATTTTTATTTATAATTTTTGTATTTCTTTATCAAACACTCATCGATTTTATCACGTCTGTTATCTTAGTGGATTGTAAGGTCGAAGAAATTTCACAAAAATGAAAACAACACCTAATATATCAGCGAAAAAAAGATATATATCTGCAAACTGTACCGTATTTGAAAAAGAAAGACTCATACTTTAAGGTGTTATGCGATCTCCGACGAGTGTACTTTTATGTTAAATGATGACGTTAATAGACACAATTGTCGTTATTGGAGTAACAGTAATCCTCATTTATTCAAATACATAAACATCTCAGAAATTAAATGTATGGGTTGACATTTTACGGAATCACGTTGCTGGACCATTATTTCTGGAAGAAAATCTCAACGGAACAATATATTTAAATTTGTTAGAAGACAATATTGATGCGCTGAATACTGACACATTGGAATCTGATAATAATCTGTTAGAGGATGAACTGACGTTCAACAGGACGGGGCTAAGACAATTTTTGAATCAACATTTTACAGGGTATTAAATTGGCAGAAGGGGTCCAATAGAGTGACCGGCCAGATCACCGGATTTTTCGCCTTTGGATTTTTTTGTGGGCATACCAAAAATCAAAAATATACGCCACTCCGCCTGCAGATCTTGCACAGTTACGACAAAAAATTGTGACAGAAAGCCGATTATTATAAGCCGAAAGAGGCTTTGAAAATAGACTGTATTATTGTATGGAGGTCACAGAAGGTAACTTCGAACATTTACTTTAACATTCAAGTTGAACATATTCAACCAATAAATAAATTAAATTTGAAATTATGTTCAAAGTTATTCTGTAAATTAAAAACAAAATAGAATTTCGTGTAGAGAAAAAAATTACCTTTCAAATGATGTGTCACTTGACCACACTTGCTAATAAAAAGATTTTGAGGTTTTGAGTTTTTGGGGGGGTCAAATTTTCGTTGGAACACACTGTGTAATACAAGATATACTGACTGCTATAATACAACGCCTTCCCCCAGTGCCACAGAGCAAACTGACACAAAGCAGTTCCTGCATCTCTGCCTAATGGGCCGGATTTATCGACCACGTATCCTAAATGATTAATGAGAAGGTCACGTGGTCGATAAACCCGGCCCATAAATTTGGAAATTTGGAGCTTAGTATTTTTGGATTAGTATTCAGCGCATGATAAACCTTTGGAAAAGTATATTCTGATTTTGGCTCTCATGCTTGTGCCAGTCGGCGTCTTGTGAGTCGAATATCAGGAAAAATCACAGTTAAAGTGAGTGAAAGAAAAAAAAGAGAAGAATACAGAAGCAGGGAAGAACTAGAATCAGTTGTCAACACAACATGAAAATATCAACTAAATAATCAGATTCGACAAATGAGAGAACATAATATTTATAAATCGCATAATAAAAATCACGTAACAATAATTAAGATCCTTCCACTAAAGAATGCGAGTTGGCATGCCTATGTAATTCAAAAACGTGCGTGTAATACCGTGTTCTTGACAGTGACAAACACAAAATGTTATCGGTTACATAAGGACGTGGCCGTGGACCTTCGTACTAGGTGTACGCACTGAGAGAGCTGAAACGTTTTGGCGCCAAGTTATGATCGAAAGTCAGTATACATTAACTCAACTAAAAAACGAAAATACTAGAAATAAGATAATAAATAATGCTCAGCAACTGGAACAACATTGCTAGTAATATTAACAAATATTTCTAAAATATTAATTAAATTTTGAAAAATTTTCTGATGAGTTTTAAATATAATTGCCTTACCTTTAAACCTGCCTCAACCAATTTCTCTGATATAGCGGCCCCTACACCAGCACTTGCCCCTGTAACTAGGGCTACTTTTCCTAACCATCTATCCATTTCCTGCTACTATTAATGATGACAAGCGAATAACATTTATATTAAATTCTTGACGATAAAATGTTATCTAAAATATTGAAGTTCTTTATTATAATTTATATTTCCTAGATAGTATATTTTGTAAAAATTTTGGTAATGTTAATGTTTTAAGGATAAGATCTACATGTTTGAATTTTAAAGTTAATGATACGCAGTATCAAAATAAATATTTGCATTAGATTATTATTTGAACTGAATATTTGCGAGTAAATTTAGAACCGACTGTATTATTTCTAACGTGTCAGATTTTAAACTTACATGAAACAAAACCTAAAAATACACTGAATATTTTTAAATCAATGCAAATTATAAATTAGAATCTTCATTAAACGAATTTGAGATAAACATTAAACAAACAGAAAAAATTATTAGTAGTTATTATAAGCTGATGACAGACTCAGAAACAAATAAAACAATAAACTACTAATACTCCAGTCGTCTGAGACGAAAATGCTACTGAACCCCTAAAAATTATACGAACAAGCTGAATTTTTCTGAGATTTTCAATTTTGAGAACACAAAAAATATTATAAAAAGTTTATTACTTTTAACCCCGGCTATCCACTAAACGGAAAAAAATCGATTTACTAAGAATCTTTATCTAGCACAGAGCTAGATAAAGGTTTTTTTACCAACTATCCAATGGTTTATTTTTATTTTTTATCCAAAAAATTTTACCAGAATAACAAACGAAGATATCAGGAGAAGAACCGGAGTGACTGGCATCATCGAGAAGATAGCCAGACTAAAATGGAGATGGGCAGGACACATAGCCAGAATGACAGATGGGCGATGGACGAAGAGGTTATTGGAATGGAGGCCAAGGGAAGACAAGAGAAGCGTCGGTCGACCACCTACAAGATGGACTGACGATTTAAGAAGACTCAATAAAAACAGGATAAGAGCAGCGCAAGATAGACGGGGTTGGAAACATGAGAAAGAGGCCTATGTTCAGAAGTGGACTCTTGAGGCTGGATGATGATGATGATGATCCAATGGTTGTATGTTCAAGTCTGTAGCTTGAAAAATATAGAAGGTATTACAATTGTTTATAAGTAAAAAACGTATAAAAATAATTAGCCTCAGGAATAAATAAGTTAAATAACTTTTAAACTATTTGACCGATCGGGGGGAAATTTCGCACAAATTTAAAAGACGGTAATTCCTCGATGTTTAAACGTATTAATAACATTTTATTTTGTTAATAAAAAAATTAATAAAATTTATAAATTAGTGCAAAAAAAAACTGCTTTTTACAAATATTTCCGTTTAAATTAAAATTGTTTATTAATTTTAATTTAAAAAAATTGTAAAATAAAGATACTCTTGATATAAAAAAATGATATAAATATTGTTTATGTAAAATATAAGGGAAAAAACTTAGACAAAAAATCAAATTGTGACGATAAATCATTGTTTAAAAAAACGCAAGGTGAAAATACGAGTACTTCTTCTAGTAAATTTATTCACCTAAAAAATGCATCATTTAGACTTAAACATAATATGCCATTGGCTGGAAAGGGACAGCGGTCATAATGATAGCAAAGCCAGGTAAAACGCAAAATAAAGTTTCGTCATATAAATCTATGCCTCTGTTGCCTTTAATATCCAAAACTACATAAAACACTGTTGCTTAAAAAATATTAAAACCAATAATATACGGAAGGAACCTCATACCTCCTCATCAGTTTGGTTTCAGGGAAAGTCATTCGACCTTGGATCAAATATATAAACTAACTTATGTAATAGAAAGATCACTGAAAGAAAAGCAAGTTTCTTGATTCTGTTGGAGTTTTCGATATAGTAAAGCATGAGGGCCTCAGTTACAAACTTAAAAGAGTACTATCAAAGCAATACTCTTAAATATTGGAATTTTACGTCTTAAACAGATTCTTCAGAGAGGCAAGCAAGAAGAGCTCTATTCTGGGTTGAAAGAAATCAAAGCTGTGGTACCACAACGCGCAAGCGGGGGTCACTTTCGCTGACGAATAGGGTATCATATCATTTGGAGAAGACAATCAAGAAGCTACAAGAAAACTGCAGATCTCAGTGAATAAAAGCAATCATTAAATAAAAAAATGTAGAATGTATATTATAGAATATAATAATTATGGATTATATTAAGCATACATTAAATACAGCATTATAGCCAGGCTAGATAAAAAATAGATGAAAAAAAGTTTAGCAAATATCTAAAGATTTAAATGAAAGTCTTTCTAATGAGAAATACGTAAAGAGATACAGCCAGATATGCAATATTTTTATAAACAATGGAAAACAGTGCAAAATTCAGTATTTTACTTATGTAATTTTCAGATTAAAGTTGATAAATAATCGGTAAACTGGACCTTTTATAGCTTAAAAAGACTTTCAATTTTATTTGTTAAAAGTTAAAATCAATAAACAATTAAGTTAAATACGGATCATTTTAGCAATACTATATAAATGTTTCTAACTATTGCAAAAACTTCAGCAAAAATTTCAGCTTAATCGGTTTAAAAGTTTATGTAAAATATAAATTATTTATACCAAAAACTAATTATATAAACAACTGTGCTTGTCCAAAAAATGGTCCTAGAACATTTAACTGAAGGAATAATTCCTAAAGTTTTCAACTTTGAGGATCCAAAAAATTTATTATTTATTTTAAAATTATTGTTCTGAAGCTATTTTCTTGTGGCATTTTAAAGTAATTACTATTTAAATGGGAATAAGCCACAATTAAATGTTAAAGTACGTTTATTGACGTTTCAATTTACTTTGAGAACGATTTACGAAGTGGAAATTGAAACGTCAATAAACGTACTTATTCCAATTTAAATAGTAATTATTTTAATATTGTTAGATATAATATCAGAGATATTTATTGTAAAGGCTTATAAAAATGGGATCGGCTTCGATTTTGTGAAAAATTTAGTGAAATTATAAATAACAACCAACATCGATTGTACAATACGTGTTTTTCCTTTTATGTTAAATAGTGAAGTAAATAGACATAATTGTCGTTATTGGAATAGCAATAATAATCATTTATTCAACAAATACCTTAGAAATTAAATGTATGGGTTGGCAATTTAGGGAATCACGTTATTGGGCTATTATTTCTTGAAGAAAATCTCAACGAACAACTCTGATACATTGGAATCTGATTATAATCTTTTAGAGGATGAACTGACTTTCCAACAGGACATGACACCCCCACATTATGATATACGTGTAAGATAATTTTTGAATCAACGTTTTTAGGGCGTTGGATTGGCAGAAGGGGTCCACGGCCAGAATACAGGATCTTTCGCTTTGGATTTTTTTTATTGGGATACCTAATATCGAAAAGATATCGCCACTCCGCCCGCAGATCTTAGAGAGTTGCGACAAAGAATTGTAACAAAGTGTCGTGTAGAGAAAAATATGCATTTCAAATGACGTTTTTTTAAAAATTAGAAAAAACCCTTGGTTTCTGAGTTTCTGGTTCTGGAGGGGGGGGGGGGTCAAATTTTCGTTGAAACACACTGTATAAGTAAAATATTAAATTTTGTACTTTTCCCATTGTTTATCAAAAAACAATGCATACCTGGCTGTATCTATTTATGTCTTTATTTATTCATTGAAAACTTTCAGATATCTGCTAACTATGTTACGCGAAATACCTTTATTTTCTCTGTAGCGTGTGCTAATAATACTATATAAAACTAAAGAGACAATGTCATGGTATTTTTCTATTTATTTGTATTGACTCTAATTATTCTGCTTGCTTATTTTATTCTAAAAAGACTTACCCAATTATTTATATTTATGCACTGATCTACTACACTGAGCAATGAGCGTTGTGGATATTTTTCGGCTATTTGTGGAATTATACGGTAACGTTAATGATTTAGGTAATCAACGCAAAATTGTATAGTATTAAAAATGGTAACCAATGGACATACTTTTATGTCTATTAATTAATAGACATTCGTGTTTACGTGCACATATTATTTATACAGGATGTACATTGAGACAAATTTCAAAAGTACTGTTTGCCATTTATTTTTTTAAATTATATAAGTAAACTTATAGATATTTTTAAGATATTATAAGATATTTTTTTTGTTTTAAAGACATCCACCTTACGGTTATTAGCGGCGGATCTGTAGAATTTTACGAGTACATGTAGATATTACACATTATACAGAATTATATATATATATATATATATATATATATATATATATATATATATATATATATATATATAGATTGAACGAAATAAATTCGGAACATACGAAATATTATGTTTTTCGGCTCAATTCTGCTGTAGGTGATTGGCCAAAAAAAGGTTGTCATATTATTATAAAAATTATTATAAAAATCCAATACTTCACCGGGCTGCTGAATTCTGAACTAATTCAAGAACTCATTCATAGGTGGTCAAACCACCTATCGCTTCCTAAAGCCGGCCACTCACGTTACAGCGGTGTCTGACATAATCGGACAGAGGCGTCGTTCAATTTGTTGGTATGTCTGGTGCGCCCACACACCATACTGCGCCGCAGTATTTGTTCGGTTCTCGACCATGTCAAATCAAACAATCATTTCAGCATCTCTTACTTTGTGTATAACTAAGCGTAAAAGAAACCTAAAATAAAACGTAGATTCTGGTGCAAATAATCCAAGATTTTGGTGCAAAATAAATCTCGTCTGCCTCTGCACCCGATTTACAGGACTGCACTGCTAATTTTAATTCTCTTTTATAGGATGTTCTAAAATTGTTTTTTTTTTCTTACATACTCTTCATTCGCATCTTTGTTTACTTCTTGGAACTTTAAAACTAGAATGTCCATTGCCTGTTTTCGGGCGTTTCTATCGTGATACGTTTTACCTTTTATTCGCTATAAGCATTCTTGTTTTTTATATAATTTAAAAAACTCTCTTAAAAAATTCTCGCTAAATCAAGCCATTTCGATTTTCTATAATATGAT